CCATTTACTTTTTAATTATTGGGTAGTTTTTCATCAAAACCTATGCTTATTATAATAAAATTAATTTCTGCATTGCATTTTTTACGATTGCCAATATTCAAAAGATATTGGGAATTGTTGGTAGCAATTCATGGTATTCTGATTGGATAATGACATTCCTTTCCTATCAGGTAAAGAGATACGGTTGCTGGTCAACTCTTACCTTTGAGTTTCATCCATAATCGATTGAGTGTTTCTAAAACATTTTCTTCCAATAAAACTAATTTCATAGCAAACCAAAGAAAATATGAATTAGATGGTCATTTGCTGGTGATGTTTTGTTTCTTCTACTCTTCTAATGTTGTTCTCATTAAAGTCGAAATTAGTATTGAGCCATAGCTCAGGAAAAAAACGGAATTTCGGATGCCCGTTTAATTTTGTAATACATTGTACTGTAGAATACTTTATTTTCACTTGGAATTTTTTTTCGCTATTTTCGCTGAAGGGATGATTCCGTGAAAATAAAATCCAGCGAAAACACTTTTTTTCCTATATTTCACATTAAACTCATCAAAAATCAGTGAAAATAAATTCCATACAAAACGCACATAAAGCCTTTTCAGAGAAAATTAATTCCAGCGAAAATAAAGTATTCCACAGTAGTTGGAATTTTAGAAGCCAGTATATTACAAAAATCTGCCAAATAATTACGTGGTTACATTTTTAGAGGGGTTAACATTTTAGAATTTCTATGGTACAATATTCTTTAAATATTTTCAGGCACTCATTTCTTAATATTTTTTTTAGCAGTGAATATTTGATAGAGGTTCAACATGGCACGTTGTAGTGACTATCATGAAATTTTATAAAATCATTGAAAAATTGTAGCATCTGTAGATATTTCTGAAAGGAGGACACATATATTGTTTTCCACTGTAAAATCTATAATTATTAATTTAATAAAACATTTTTGTCATGTCCTTGGAGAAAAGGTCATGGTTACCGGTACTTGTTCATGAGGACACAGTGCACTGAGGTGCTTTGTTTTCCCAGAACATCCACATGTAAATGCATGTTTTCAGTGAATGAAAATATTTATATGTGGGTGAGAGGTCATGGAATATTGACAATCTCTGGTAAAGGTAGTACTTGTTGATTACACAGTTGAAGGTGATTTGAATATTCATGAGCTGTTGGCTGTTCCATCAACCCTACTTTCATGTACTCTGGCATTGTGCCATGGTTTCATACATAAGGCGCCTCAGTTAAAAACGCTGAGTAAACACTGCCTTTGTTTAGCCACTCGTTGAGTGAAAATATTGTAGTAAGTTTGGTGCAATGATATTATAATGATTACTGTCTCCATTTATTCCTATATACATGTATATATAAATTTAGAAGTGTGGGGACTTGTACCATGGCTTTTTTTTTAAATTTCTCTGATT